AGAATGGCAGCCCTGGGGCTTACCCAGCTGTCTAGTATGAGCGTTTCCTGGCTACAATAGCCACGTGGGTAGAAAAGGAACCAGAAGACAACCCCACTTGGTTTTCTGCTACCCAGAATTGGGAGCGAAGAAGTGAAATTTCACATTCCCCATAAGGACACAGTGATGTGGCCCTGACAGACAGGACAGGAAGGAGCCCAACCACCTGCCACTGGAGGGAGAATGACAGGGATGTTGTAGGAGAGGGCAATCAAGATGGGCATGAGCCGGATGGGGACCCACACAAGGTGGGGACCAGGACGCCCACTCCTGAAGGCAGCAGCACTCATTCTCTCCGCTGATGCCCACGTGCTCAGACCCCTCCCTCATCCCTCTCTCACCCGTGCCCACACTGCAGAGGCATACCCCTTGCAGCCTCCCTTGAGTCAGACAACGGGAAAACCCCCCACTGGCCGAAAAACTGTGTAATGAACTAGTGTGCTGTGGAACAGCTAAGATTATGTGTCTTGCCACCAGATGCGTTAGTCACGCAAAGAGAAATTCAGTTGATCGAGATTTCCTTTCTCACAGCTGGAGTGTAGGACTTGGGGATCCCATGGCATCCTTGGGGGCCAGCCGGCCCATCTGGGCCTTTCTCCGTGACTGGAGTGAAGCTGGCCGTGGAGGAGCTTGCCTAGGATAGAGGATTCGAAGGGAGTGTCAGGGCTGTGAGGCAGAAACAGGCAGTAAAGAGCAGACCTTTAATAATGATTTCACTGAGTGCGGCGAGCAGTCATTTCCTTATGCACAGCTGCAGGATTCAGCAGGAGGAACTCAGAATGAACAGGCCGAGCAGAACTAATTAGAAGTGCACGATGTGTGTGCAAGACCCCTGGTGATAACTGGCAGCAGGTACACGGGAAGCCGAGGGGACCCAGGGCTCCTGGGCTCCAGGCAGGCATCACTGATGTTGCCCTGGGGGGCCAGGGCAGGAAGGGGGAGCAGCCAGTCCTGGAGGAGAATTCTGGGGAGAGGAAGTGGGCAGGGGGGAGCCGAAGTGGTCATCCCTGAAGGTGGAACCCTGACACTCAGTAGAGAGAGTGAGTTCTTACAATAAGCCGGGAAGCTAAATACAGTGACAACAAGCACAGCACAGTACACTCAGCTTCTTAAACTGAGCTTTTGCTTTAAGCTCAGGGTGAGATACTGGGGCATGGGTTGGACTGGAATTTGCTTTGGTGACATGAAAGGAGAAAGGGTGTGTGAAAGGGAAAATGGACAGTCAGACCGCAGGCAGGGAGAAGGAGCAAAGGAAGGGAAGGCCCTGTGGCCAATGACCGTCAAGCACTTAGGAGCCATCACTTGCACACAAACAATAGTCAGACTGTGTGCCATTTGTAATTTCATTCTCTGAAGGATACTCTTCAGAAATAGTCACCAGGTAACATCTGGATATCCAGCAGTCTTGGTTCATGCTTCTTCCCTCAGCGAACCAGCAATAAAACCGAGCTCATTTGCATTATTTTATAAGTTAGGCAATTTACTAGCCGATTCGGGTTTCCCTCCCAGTTACTTTGAATTAATTTTCTCATCATTAAGAATCAGAGATTTGGGAAGCAGCGCTGGTGAATTCCCCGGCAAAGTTAGAGGCCGTTAGGAAGAGGCTGTTATTCCATCTTCGTCTTCCTCTTGGACCGCTTTATATCCAGGTTCCCGGTTCACTTTCTTGAGAGACAGGTCCCATCCTCCTTGCAAACATTCATTCTTAAAGCCCAGATAACCCCTAATGCTGGGGGTCAGGGTTTGAGGAAGTAAGCTGGATGGGACCTTAAAAGTAGGAGAAACTGGAAGCTGGGAAGGAAAGCAGGGCCTGAGCTGAGGACCTTGAACCCAGGACCACACAGTGTTATTACTTGAAGTTCATGAGCAGGGGTGGGGAACCTTTTCTCTGCCAATGCTCTTAGGATCGGATCGGATATTTTATAACATTGTTCATCGGCCATACGAAACGATCAACTTAAACATGAGCGGCTCTACTTGGTCAAACATTTAGTGGACTCACCCCTAATGCCTCACCAGGGCCAGACCAAATGATTTAAAATATATATATATTTTATTGATTTTTCACAGAGAGGAAAGGAGAGGGATAGAGTTAGAGACGTCGATGAGAGAGATACATTGACCAGCTGCCTCTTACACCCCACCCCCTCCACCGGGGATGTGCCCACAACCAATGAACATGCCCTTGACCGGAATTGAACCTGGGACCTTTCAGTCCACAAGCCGACACTTTATCCACTGAGCCAAACTGGTTTCGGAGAGACCAAATGATTTTGTGGGATGGACATTCCCCACCTCTGTGATAGAGGAAGAGGGTGGTGAACTCACTCCTGGTATCCACTGAGCCAGTAAGATCTATTATAGACAGGGATATCCTGTCTTCAGCCGAGAGAACTGTAGGGTTCAGAGGAGAACTCGAGTGCTGGGTAGGAGACTAAGTTAGGAGGCCAGGCATGTAGCTGAGGCAAGACAGTGAAGTCTAATGACTGCACTGCAGTGGGTACGGGCTCCATGGTGCACCCAGGGACCAGGGTCCCCTCCAGGGTGCCACAACTCATTCTACACCCCACCTGCCGGAATCTATCACATACCTTGGCCATGTAGGCTTAGGAATGGGATATGGATGCATGGAATGTGCCTGCAGAGAAGGCCCTCAGCATGTACGAGGGCAGAGGCCAGGCAGGGCAGGGCTGACACACAGGCCCCACTGCCGCCATGGAGAAAGCATGTTTCCTGTTGCCCAGCCTGACAACATGTAGCAACTGACAGAAACAGAACCTTGCACCTCATCTCTGCAGGAGCTGGTTATTGTGTGTTTCCAGGACACTCCTGGAATCCAGAGGAGGAACAAGTCAAGGGGGACTCCCTGGAGGAAGCAGCCCAATGGGAGCTTTAAAGAGTGAGTATAACTTAAAACAGGGATGAACATGGAAAGCAATTCCAGATGAGGGGACATCCATGAGCTGTGAGAATTCAATGAGATACTTCACCGAAGTCACTCAGAAGGAGTCCTGTCATCAGGGAAGCCCACGGCAAACAAGACAGAGGGGTATGGCTGCTGTTATTCTGCTGCTTTATTTTGATGACGTTTTTACTGCTTTTGGTAAAGGCCACGGGGATTCAAAGCGCACGCTTGGAAGATAGTAAGCTAGCACAATTCTGACCTCCTTCTCCAGACGCCCGTGGGATCAAAGCAACCCAGTGAACGAGGGTTCTTTAATTTTCATTTTATTTTATCAGAACTCTTTCTGCATCAGCAGTGCCTCCAAACTGCTCATGCTCCACGGGACCGTGGAAGGAAGTTACACTGAGCTGGGCTCCCAGAAACACCCCCATAGACCTCATGGAACTAAAAATCACCGCCTTTAGTCAGTGCCTACATCTCTCACAACCGGACACACAAAGTGGTAAGCTCTGGGTCTGCTCTCTCTGCTTCTCCCCCGTCCACTGGCTGTGTGAGGGCACACATGCCAATAGGAAGGAGACACAAACCAGGAGGTTCCTGTGAGCGCTCTGGAATGCTGCAGCACAAACACTGGTGGAGAGCGAGCTGGGTGTTTGTCCATATTGCAAACACACCCCTCCAGGAGCTGCTTAAAACACCCGGCATGCAGGCCTTCCGCCCACAGTGCTTGTGAGAAGAAGGTCGCTGCTTTGTGGTCCCACTCATCTATGCAGTCCCTGGCTGCTGCTGTTGTGTGCCTTGATCTGCCCTACAGCCTTGGCGTACAGGACGACGCTTTAATCGCTGAGCTACCTGGCCGGGGCGGCTGAGAGCTCTGATTACCTTGCCGCTATTATCCCCATTGCCAAGGCCAGTCTCTCCGCTGTGGGCTGTCACGCTCTGTAACTCAAAGCGGCCGTGGAGGCGGCGTCTGAGGCAGCCCCGGCTCCCTGGCTCAGCGCTGCCTCTCTGAGCAGCAGCTCGGGGTCAGCGCACATTTCACGGAGGGGGGCCCGGCTCAGTCCTCTGTCATGGGCGACACCCCCGCTTCAGGTACATGGGCTGTGCGGGCGCTGCTTCCCCAGGTGATTGCGGGCCTGGGCCGGGCAGCCTGCCTAGGGCACTCAGCGTGGTCCCAGGAGCGGGCTGGCCCCAGGGACAGCTCTGCTGATGGCCATATTCTGCAAAGCTCCCCGGGGACAGGTGGGTGTTCCAGGAATGCTACCTGGTTGGGTAAAAAACCAAATCGTTTCCAGAACACCAACAGGGTTTTCCACTAAACTTTCCTTGGAGTGTTTTCCTTTGGGGGTCAAAGGACCAGTCTGAGACCCAGGAATTAGTGTCGTGACTAAACACGCCAACAGGCAGCGTGTGCCATAACCCTACAGCCTGGCATCCTGCCCAGCAAGCAGGAGGCGGTGGTTTGCCGGGCGCCCGGGGGCCGGACCACAGCGTGTTGTCCTGCAGGAAGCAGGGTGAACCTGATGAGAGTCGTGTCCTCCCTGTGTCCCTCGGGGACTTTCCAGAGGAAACTCACCAATCTCAGATTCCCGTGCTCGTTCTGAGGACACCTGTTGCTGATATCAGCACCCATGGCTGTCCTGGCATCTGTCCTTCTGAGGCTCAGTGCAAAGTGCAGGGTGAGCCTTCCCTCCCTCCTGCACATTCACAGCACCGACCCTTACAAGACACAACTACAAGCACAACCAATGGATTCATTAAATGTACTTTCATGCGAGAAAAAGGGAGAGGATTTTTTTTTTTTAAATCGTCCACTCAAATGCACACATTTCCAGGGGGGGAGGGGAGGGAAGAAACCTATTCATAAAAAACGACAATCCAGGCCCTCGCAGGGTCTATAGAAACTGTTGCATGAGCTCACCAGTTTGGTTTCTCTCATTCTCCTAAGCAAAGAGAGGAAGCTGCCCCCGCACACACTGGCCAGGTGCACGGGGGTCTCTTAGATTCCGCTCGCCCCGCACTCCACTGCCGTCCTGGGGGTGCGGCAGACACTCACCTTGAAGGAAGAGTAGAAGGAGCCCCACTCCTCTTCTGCCATCTCTCCCGTGGGAGTTGTGGGGAAGCAGCCGGCCGTGTGAGAACACGGGGTCCGCGTGGTCCCGCTGGAGTTGGCGCTGCCCTCGGTGAGGTTGGCTGGCATGGCTCGGGGGGCCCAGAGGCAAGGGAGAGAGAGTCCAGGTTCTCCTGAGAGCTGAGAGCTGGCAGCAGCCGCACCTCCGGGCTCCTGGCTCTGGCGGGAGCTGCGCTGAGCAGAGGCGCTGAGCCCTCGGAGCCCACTTCATTGAAGAGCCGCTGACGGCAGGCAGGGCACATCCACGTGCTGCTCTCTCCTCAGCTGTCACGATCCGGGAGCTGCAAGCCTCAGCTCCCACAGCCCACCACGGCCCAGCCTCGCCCCTGGAGTGGCTCCCAGACAGGCCTCCCTGCACAGGTGTGCTTTCCTTCCAGAAGGGACCCCTCCCACCCACCCTTTTGTTACAATTTAAGCCACAGAGATTAGGCTGATCACAGGTTGATTAATTCAGGTCATGTTGGCACTTTCTGAAACCCAATAGTAATTATGCATTTGCTTCAGCTGAGGTTGCCTTCTGACTTACAATCCCCCGTAGCCTGCCCGTCATTTCAGTAAACAAGCCCACATTTGTCTGTCGCACCCACCCTCCCCCACTCCCAGGCTTGCACCGGGCAGCTCTCTGGAAAGCGTAGGTCTGTGTTTGCCAATAAGCCACGTCCTGTGATGACTGGGATTGGTGCTCGGGAGTCCTCTCAACGCCTCAGGCCTCAGCGTCCTGTCATTGACACGCAACCACTGTGTGAGGCAGGCAGCGCGGTCTGTATGCTGTCATTTTCACCAGGAAAGTCTCAGAGGTGGAGTGACTTGTCCAGGGCCCCACAGCTGGGGATGGGAATGAGATGAACGCCCACAAATTTCTAGACAGGGTGCTTTCACTGTAACACACCCTGAGATGCACCAAATACTGGCATGAAGTTACCCCGAGTAAGGGTGGCAGGCCAGCTGGGGAACAATAGGACATATGATAGCAACCAAGCATAATCCTAGCCACTTACACAGAAAGCATGCAGGGGCTGGTACCCACGACCAGGGGCTAATGCCACCTGGTAAGAGGCAGCAGGCGTGATGATCATAAGAGACTGAAGCCCTCATGAGGGCTCCTGGGGAACTTGAGCGGAATGCAGGAGCCCAGGATGTGTATGGTGTGCTAGAGATGAGATGTTAAGTCTACAATGAAGGGGCAGCAAAGAGGAGGAAGTTGTGCAGAAAACCATGTGAGCTGTAGGCTCTTAGAGAAAGGGTCAAATCAGCAGAGAGCAAAATGAGCAAAAAATAGTCCTGCTGGCAAACGAACGGGAAAAGATTCCCAATAATATTACAAACTGAGGAAAAGCAACTTCAAACAATAGGCAGAATTCCTACCTATCCGTGTGGCAAAATGAAGGTGTGACCCCACCAAGGTTGACAAGAAATGGGTACACTTTTTCACTTCCTGTGTGAGAGTTAGTTCCACGGTCCTTTTGCAGAGCAATTTGGCGGGATTGGTAAAGATGAAATTGCCTGTTCTGTAAGGAATGCATCCTTCCATTTCTCAATTATGGCAATTCCCAGCTCTTTACCTGGGTTACTTACATACAATTTATGAAGATGCATTGCACTACATGCTGAAAATGCGAGTGCTTTTTTTGTAGGTATGTTTTACTTCAACACAAATTTGTAAACAAAATCTGTGAGTCACTTCTGGGAGAGGACAGACTCTGGTGAAGCCATATTGTGATGAGGGTGGAGAGAGAGGATATGGTTGATGCCATGGATGGGGAATAGGTGGAGAGAGAGCTTTCTGAATGTGTGGTTTTCTCCCTACTCATGGTCCAGATGGTCACTTCTTGACCTGTGGCTATCCAAGAGAAACATGTATGTCTGTGTACAAGGAGATGCCCAGAAAGTTGCCTTTGCAACATCATTCTGAAACAAATCAGAAGCAACCCAAATATTTATGGTGACAGTACCAACAAGATGCAACCAGCTGGAAATTGCCCACATGCCCATCAACAGAAGCTGGATGAATACATTCCATGTATTTCACACAATGAAATAGTGTGAGAAGAATGTTCTGCAGCAAATATAACATGATAGCTTAAACTCATAAATGTAATATTAAGTAAAATAATCCATATTTTTCATTGATATAAAGTATCACTATATGTGTGTGTGTATATATAGATATATACACACACACATTTATATACATATATACATGTAAGTATATATACACACATGCATATATATATATTTAAATACATATTCACTGTGGAATACTATACAGCAATTAAAAGAAAGTGTTGCAGACAAGATGGCAAACTAACATAACGTGGCAGTTACTTTATTTATCAACTTGACTGGACAGCAAGGTGCCGAGATATTTGCTCAGACATTATTCTCTGTGTGCTCCTGAGGATGTTTCTGGGTGAGATTAACTTGTGAATCAAAAGACTGAGGGGAGCAGATGGCCCTGACCCATGTGGGTGGCCTTCATCCAATCATTTGACGGCGTGAACAGAAGGAAGTCAGATCCTCCCGCAAATAAGAGGGAACTCTTCCTGCCTCACTGGAGCTGGGCATTGGTCTCTTCAGGCCTTTGGACCTGAACTAAAACATGAGGCTTGGGTCTCAAGCCTGACAGCCTTCGGACTGGAACTACACATCAGTTTTCTAGCTGACTACAGATCTTCGGACTTAGCTTCTGTAATCACATGAACCGATTTTTAGTAATATCTATTTATCTATCTATCTACCTAATATCTATCTATCTATCTATCATCTATCTATCTATCTATCTATCTATCTATCTATCTATCTATCTATCATCATTCACCCATCCATCCTATTGGTTATGTTTCTCTAGAAAACCTCAAATAATGCATGTAGCATCTAGCTCCTTACCTGCATTCATCCCTAGAGATTCCACAAAAATGAGAGGGGCGTTGATGTGTCACGGGACATCGAGTGAAGCCATGAGACCCCTGGGAGACACAGTGCGCTGGTGAGGACGTGGCGGGCAAGGCCTGTCTGCACGGCTGCAGTGATGTCCGCTGGCACGCGTGCTTTGGAAACTGTCTTGGCAGCATTATCTAAGGCTGAGCATATGCATATTCTAACACCCGGCGGCTTTGCTGCCAGATGAACAGAGCGCTTCAGCTTGGAAATGCCCCCAGCTGGACACTCCCGAAGTGCTCATTCACAGTGAAGCAGGTAAAGAGCATGTGGCATGTTCAAATGATGCAAAACATACACGATTCCGATAAACAGTCTGTAGAAATCTCTCAGTCATACATTTTGAATGATAAGACACAAAACAATGTGTGGTATTCGATTTCATTTACTTTATAGGTGAGTAGTGACTGGAGTGGACTTGCATTTTTCTGTTATTTGTTTAGGTTTTGCTTGTCTGCTCTGATTTCACACTTGCTTAAGTTATTCACTTCAAGGTCTCTGATCTCTACATTCCCTCTAGAAACTGGGGTGTCTCAGAGTCCTGTGCCAGGTCCGGCGTTCTAGGTCCTGCCTGTGCCCTAGAATGACCATCTGTGCTGCTAAAGAATACTGGGGCTGGGGCCTCAGCCCTCAAGGTTTGGACTAGGGGAGGCGGCCTGGCCACTGGGAGTTTTTGAAGCTCCCCAGGTGATTCTAATGAATATCCGGGTATGAGAACACCCGTCCTGGAGAATAGTAATCTCTAGGTTGCTATTCCCAGGCTGCTATGTCTGCTACCTGCCTTGTGAGGCCACTGTCTACACTGCCTGGCCCTGCCAGCCCCTAGGGCTGCTCCTGCCCGCCCCCTCGACCCTCAGAGAGCCCCATATCCTCCCGGGTTCTCCTTCCTCAGGACGCAGTTTGAGTCACTGGGCATGCGTAGTCTCAGCAAGCAGATGGGAGGGAACTTTCCCATTTCTTTATCTTGGGGCCAGAAGGCTTGCTGCTCTCTCTCAGCATCAGGAAGCCCTAGTTAACCTCCAGTTTGGAGACTTCCAGACAATCAACTGGATCACCCTACGGGATGCTGCCTTCCTTAGACACCGTCCGCCAGAGCCCGGAGGGAGGTTTCCAGGTAAGGGATGGAGTGTGGGCGACCACAGCCCAGCTCCCCATCCGACCGGCTCTGACCTTGAGGGGGGGGAGGGGGGAGAAAGTATAGGGGACATGAGGAAAGCCTGCCCATTACTGTCAAAGCCCTCCCTTCCTTCTCCTTAGAGTGATGACTGGCTTATGTGAGTCCATTGTTCTGGGCTCTTTGTCAAGTCTGCCAGTTCCTGACGGTGGGAGCTCCCCCTATTCTTGTTGTGTCTTCTGACAACATGGACCCCCAGCCCTGTGGTCCTGGAGCCCAGAGTGGCAAACCGTTTCTTTGCGTTGGGAACAGCTCACTGCAATGACCCATGGTTCCCCATGTGGCTCTGATCAGACCCATGGATGCCCCTCCCCCTTCTGTGAGAATGCCTCCCCCCTACAATGATTCTTCCCAACATCCCAGAGTCCTGAGCGGTTGGTAGACACCTCCACCCTGCTCACAGGTTCGTGTTGTACTGAACGGAAAATGGTATTGGTGGTTAAATATCTATTTAAGCAACTGCTATGGAAAAATAGGTGATTTCAGGTGCCGAGGGGAGGGGGGTTGAGGGGGGTGGGGGAGTTCGTGGTTGGTTTGGAGAGAGCAGACAGATATGTGCCCCAGGTTCAGTCGCTCCAGGGTAAATCATAGAAGTGGTAGGTGGCTCTGGCGGCTGAGTGTGATTCATCTCTGAGAGAATCAAGAGAATCCACATTCTCAGATCAGAGGAGGCACAGATCTTAGTTCTGAAGTTCCAATGTAGGTGTGGTGCTTTGATACCTTTGAATAAAGCCTGCCACGTGGAGAATGGCGAGTGAGGGTGGGTTTAGGACACAGGATGCCAAGCTCCTGTGGGGTGTTTGCTTTTTCGACCCCAGGCTTGGCTAATCGCACTCCACCCAGGAGTTCTCGCTCAAAGGAATGAGCTGGCAGCCGGGGCTGGTGCTAGTCATGGCGTCTCAAGTGGGGCCTGCATCAGCTACATCCCCACTGCTGCCCCTGGACCACCCTGCGTCTC